GTTATTATTATTACTATTATTATTATTATCATCATCATCATCATCATCATCATTATTCTTATTACTATTAATATCAGTACTCTTATTATTATTATTATTATTATTATTATCCTCCCTATCTTTATTACTATTAATATCATTACTGTTATTATTATTATTATCATTATTGTTACTATTGCTCTCCTTATAATTGTTTTTTTATCATTGTTATCATTCCTATTAATATTTTATGATGATTATTAGTATCATTATTTTATAATTGTTATTATCATTATCATCATTATTATCATCACCATCATCATTAATAGTACTATTTTTACTATTAACATTATTATCATTATCATTATTATTATTATTATTATTATTATCATTATCAATATTATTATTATTATCATTATTATTATTATTATTATCATTATTATTATCATTAGTAGAATTAGTAATATTAGTAAAATCATCATCATTAAAATAATAAAAACATATATAATTTTTTTAATCATCATTACCATCATCATCATCATCATCATCATCATCATCATCATCATCATCATCATCATCATCATCATCATCATCATCATCATCATCATCATCATCATCATCATCATCATTATCATCACTATTGTCATTATTGTTGTTATTATTATTATTGTGAAGGGTATGATTTAAACTAAAACCTCCACACAAAAAAAAAACATAGGTGATAAAAACACGATTTTAACAGAATTATAAATATATATCAATATCAACAACAACATGTAAATATAGATATATGAAACTAAAACAACAGCTATCACGCCAGATCTCAAATATCATGTAAGTGCATATACAAGTGTAAGCGAGGAGGGGTTTTCCAGCCGTGTCAGAAGCAAGATTGACGAGAAATAGATTGTTTTGAACTGAACTGACCCCAGCTGTCCTCGGGCGCCGCCTCCAGGCAACACCCTCCCCCACATAAGTTAAGAGCCAGGGTGATGACTCCACCGGGCTCTGCAGATACGGACAGGCGAAGGCCAACTCCCTCTCCAGGTCGTACTTTTTCTGGCCCGAGGCGGCTCGTACGTACCAATCTCGACATGCTATGCTATGCTATGCTATGCTATGCTATGCTATGCTATGCTATGCTATGCTATGCTATGCTATGCTATGCTATGCTATGCTATGCTATGCTATGCTATGCTATGCTATGCTATGCTATGCTATGCTATGCTATGCTATGCTATGCTATGCTATGCTATGCTATGCTATGCTATGCTATGCTATGCTATGAGGGTCGTGTCTGGGGAAGGGGAGGAAAGGCCCAGGCAGCAATGGTTCCTGGTGGCGGATTACCATTTCCAAATGTACTCGCATATCTTACAAGCAAATGCATTCGAAATATTGTATGTATGTATGTATATACAAATTTGCACAATTATCGTTGCTACTACTATTATTATTATTGTCATCATTATTGTTATCGTTATTATTGTTATTATTGTGATTATCATCATTATTAGGTTTATTATCATTATCATTATTATTATCATTACCTTTAATAGTAGAAATATCAGCTGTAGTAGTATGACTGATATTGTTATTATCAGTATCCTTATCATTATTGTTATTATCATTATGATTTTCTTCTGTATTTATTTTTATAAGTCATGATCATTATTATTTTCATCATTTCAGTTATAATTATATCACTATCATAAGTAGTAGCAATAGTAGTAATATCATTATTATTATCATCAAACTATTATCATTATCAGGCTAATCATCATCATTATTGTTATAATTATCATCATTATTGTTGTTGTTGCAGTTATCAGTAATCATCATTTTCATCGTTACTCTTTACATCATTATCATTTAATTAGTTTATCACTTTAGAGAGAGAGAGAGAGAGAGAGAGAGAGAGAGAGAGAGAAGAGAGAGAGAGAGAGAGAGAGAGAGAGAGAGAGAGAGAGAGAGAGAGAGAGAGAGAGAGATTGACTTTGACAAGTTTATTGAGACAAAAGGTTACATCTCAAAAGGATGTGGTAACGTAGGTTATCCTCATCCTTGACTTGATAAATCCCTGCGTGGGCTCACAGTTCTCATACAAAAAAATAGGTGTATTACCAGATAAAAACATACAAAAACAAAAATATTGAGAGACATGGTCTATAAAAGAGAAAGTTCGTGCGCACACCCACAGATGAGCTGTGAGGCAAGGTCTATATAAGTACTAAAATAGACCTTGCTGTGAGGTACTATTATTTGCGAAGGACAGGCAGTCAGGTCATCCCCGGCCAGGTCACCTGTTCTTTGTCGTACATATTTTGTGAAATCCGCTGTCTTTGAAGTCTAGACAATAATGTTATAAGGCTCCACTATGCTTTACCTTGCCTTTCCATTCTTCCAGCATTTCATTCAGCTTTGCCAACTTTTGTTCAATTTCCCATCGATCCAAGAGTTTTGCTTTTGCCTGATCGTTGTACTCCACACTTGCTGTTATTTTTCTTTCCTTCCCTTTAAT